GGTTTGGCTTTTATCTCCGCCAACCTGCTGGGCTCTCCCTTGCCAGCAGCAGCGCCCCAGCTGTGCCCCTGTGCAAAATTCCTCAGCTTTCCTTGGGAATGGGGTTGGGATTCTGCACATTCAGGACACTTGGGCCATTCATTGCCCAGGGAATGGGGGTGGCACAAGGTGCATCCAAACCCTGCTGGATTTCTGCCCTTTGTGCCCTAAATCCCAAGCTGTTCTTTGTCCCTGCTTGGAACCAGACAGGGGAACCCTGATTTGTAAAAGACAACTCTACAACATGTAAAATTGTTAAGTTGGTCTGATTTCTTTCAGGGTTGGACACATGTGGAATAGCTCCCCTAAAGGAGACGTGTACCTCTGAGAATTCCTGAGTCTGTTTTATCCCCTAACCTGTTGCATATGCATAGTTATAACCTTATTCATTATAGGTTCATGTATATTTATTTCGTAGCCCCATTTCACGTTAAAACTGTCACATCAGTTTTTATGAGCCTGTGCAACTCTTTAGTAACATCGTTGTGCCTGCAACTCAGCTTTAGTTTTCTTTTTTAAGGTCAGTGGGGCCCCTCCTTATCTCTCTTTAGATTAGAAACTTGTGGTTTTTTAAGTAACTTTTTTTTGTTGTTTTTTTTCTGTAGGTTTTTTATGAGCACAGTAAATTAGTAGATGAAATAGGTTTAGCAAGCTATAGACTAAACAAGTTGAAACAGCACTTTTCAGCTAAATCTAAAATTATTTTCTACTTTAAGTTCAATTTCTAACTCTTTGTCTCAACCCTCCAGGATGAAATCCGTGTAATCTTATAACCTCGGATCTCTTCCAGGTCGTGCTGCCATCCTATGAGGAAGCCCTGGAATTGCCTTCCAAGGATTGTCCCCCTCCCTACGTGGCCATCTGAGCCCAGCCTGGGGGAGCTGACCCTGGGTGCTGCTGGTGCCTTTCCCAGCAGAGCCCCAGTGCTCACCCAGAGCAGTTCCCAGCCTTCTCCAGCCACATCCTGCCAGGGAACTGCTGGAGTCTTGCCCTGCTGTGGCACCCCAATTTCCTGACCCTGGCACCCCAAATTCCTGACTCTGGCATTCCAAATTCCTGATCCTGGTACCCCAATTTCCTGACTCTGGCACCCCAAATTCCTGACTCTGGCACCCCAAATTCCCGATCCTGGTACCCCAATTTCCTGACTCTGTCACCTTGATTTCCTGACTCTGGCACCTCAGTTTCCTGGTTCTGGCACCCCAAATTCCTGACTCTGTCACCTCCACTTCCTGACTTTGGCGCCTCAATTTCCTGACTCTGGCACCCAAATTCCTGACTCTGGAACCCCAAGTTCCTGACTCTGGCACCTCAATTTTCTGGTTCTGGCACCTCCATTTCCTGACTCTGGCGCCTGCATTTCCTGACTTTGGCTCCCCAGATTCCTGACTCTGGCATCTGCATTTCCTGGTTCTGGCACCTCAATTTCCCAACCCTGCCACCCCAAGTTCCTGACCCTGGCACCTCCATTTCCTGACTCTGACACCCCAAGTTCCTGACAATAGCACCCCAGTTTCCTGGCTCCGGCATCCCAAATTCCTGGCTCTGGCACCTCAATTTCCTGGTTCTGGGACTTTAATTTCCTGACTCTGGCACTTCAATTTCATTACTTTGGCACCCCAAGCTCCTGACTCAGGCACCCCAAGTTTCTGATTCTGGTACCTCATTTTCCTGAATCTGCAACTCAAATTTCCTGGCTCTGGTATCCCAAATTCCTGACTCTGGCACTTCAATTTCCTGGTTCTGTCACCTTAATTTCCTGACTCTGGCACTTCAATTTCCATACTCTGGCACCCCAAGTTCCTGACTCTGGCTCTGGTTGCCATCCCTGGAATCTGGGATTTGACTGCTGTGGGTGCAGGGCTGGCCTGAGCCCTGCCAGTTTTGCCCTGTGCCAGGGTGGTTCTCCTCTGGCTCAGCAGGGAGACCTTTAAGAATTGGGATTAAGGGATGGTGCTGGTTTAGGGCAATTTTGGGAGAAAAACTTCTAAAGGGATTTCTTCTAGAAAAACAAATTCAAGTGGTTCCTCCCCTAACTGGTTTGGGAAAAAGATTTCCTTGTAGAAAAATGGAAACAACTGTTTATTTAATAGGCAAAGCATTCAACAGCACAAAAAATGAACAATATTAAACAACAAAACCTCTTGCCACTCCAAAAGAGATGACAAACTCAGAAAAGTCCCTTTGGTGGGCTGTAGCTTGGCTCACTCAGCGTCTTAGCAGTCCCTCTGGCCAAAATGGAAAATGGAAATGTTCCATGGAAATGGAAATGTTTCCATGGGACGTGGAAGGAAAATGGAAATGTTTCCATGGAAAAATAAATGTTTCATGGGACATGGGAGGAAAATGGAAATGTTCCATGGAAATGGAAATGTTCCATGGGACATGGAAATCCCATGTCAAACTGTGACAGGGATGAACAGGGAAGGAATTTTCTCTGGGATAACCCAGCCCTGCAGCTCCTCCAGCAGAATTCCTACAGCAAAGGGATCAGCCAAAAATTCCCCAGGAAATTCCCCAGGAACTGCAGCCCTCATCCTGTCTGTTTGTGGTGATTGACAAAACCCAGAATATCCAGCTCTGCCGTTTCATACCTGAGTGGGTGCATTTTTCTCTGCTTTTATATCACTTGGAAGATGAGTTTCAATTAAAATAAAAATGTTAATGGCCTCCAAACTGTGAGTCTGGTTTCTGAGGGTGTCTGATTGCTGAGTAAGGAAGAAATAATTTGATTTCTAAAAAAAATTAGTGAGCAAAAAATGGTGCTTTGACCTTGGCCTGATCTTTCTCATGCTTGTGCTGCTTGCAAAGGAAAAGCTGATATTTCTGCTTCAATTTCCTCTCAAAACCTGCCTCTCTGCCTTATCAGCAGTGATAAGGATCTGTGGCCTGCTCACCAGTGACAGCACAGCTCAGGCCCTGCAGATGTCACCAATGGCACTGCTGATGTCCCTGGAATTCCACACCTGCTCCCATTTTGGGATAATTTCCTGCTCTTTTCAAACATCACAGCGGGAAAAATGTGGGGTTTTCTCAGTCTTAAATAATGTCTCCATTCCAGCCTCATGCAGAGCTCAGATCAGAGCCCAGAGGGGGCTGCTCCACTCTGAACCAGCACAAACCAGGCTTCAATGGAATATTTATCAGCAAACTTCAATGGAATATTTGCAGAGGATGAATAAGAAATGTGCTGCTGCCCCTGCTCTTTTCACTCAATGTGCATTTCTGTGATGGGGATGAAGAGGATAATGTTGGTTGTATATTTTCCAGCTGATTTTCTCATTAAGGGGGGATAATTTCATTCTTCTGTGCTCCATCTCCTTGTTTTGGCTACCAGGATGCTCCACAGCAGACCTGGAGTCTGGAAGGGTGCCCCTTCCAGATGACATCTCAGTGGTTCCAGCACTTTTAAACATGCTCAGAAATCCCCCCCAAAAGCTCAAACCACTCCAATCCTCCTAGCAGAAAATCAAAAGCAAAAGATTGTTTAACTGTAACCAGAGAGCTACTCGAAATTCCACCAGGAAACTTTGCAGGAGAGCCCAGATTATTGCAGCGAGACCCAGGCTGATCTCCTGCTTTATTCTGTGGAGAGATTAAATGTGATCTTTGAATTATTAATTGGTTACTGAGCACCCACACATCTCTTGTTCACAGCCACAGGACCAAGCTGGGTGCTGGAGCTGTTCTCATTTCCCTCCATGACAGGCTCCTTTCCTACTCCAGGACAGGCCTGGAGGAGGCCTCAGGATGGGCCTTCGCTTTGGAAAAGTACTAAATATTCCATATCAGAGCCTGGGATGCTGTGGGACAGAACATTCCACACTTCTGCTCTTGCTCACAGCTATGGGACCGGGCTGGGTACTGGAACTCTTCTTATTTCTTACCATGGCTGCTCCATGACAGGCCTGGAGGAGGCCTCAGGATGGGGCTTCCCTTTGGAAAAGCACATCCTGCCCTAAATATTCCTTATTAGAGCCTAGGATGCTGTGGAACAGAGCATTCCACACTTCTGCTCTTGCTCACAGCCCGGAGACCAGGCTGGATGCTGGAGCTGTTCTCACTTCCCTCCTTGGCTGCTACAAGCCAAGCCTGGAAGAGGCCTCAGGATGGGCTGCCAGGGTGGAGATTCCCTTTGGAATTCCCACATGCTGCCCTAAGCATTCTTTATCAGAGCTTGGGATGTTGTGGGACAGCTCTGGGATAGAACTTTCCACACTTCTGCTCTTGGTCACAACTACAGGACCAGGCTGGGTGCTGGAGCCATTCTCATTTCCTTCCTCAGCTGCTGCAAGCCGGGCCTGGAGGAGGCCTCAGGGTGGGCCTTCCCTTTGGAAAAGCACTAAATATTCCATATCAGAGCCTGGGGCAGCTCTGGGACAGAACATTCCACACTTCTGCTCTTGGTCACAGCCATGGGACCGGGCTGGGTGCTGGAACTCTTCTTATTTCTTACCATGGCTGCTCCATGACAGGCCTGGAGGAGGCCTGGGGATGGGGCTTCCCTTTGGAAAAGCACATGCTGCCCTAAATATTCCTTATTAGAGCCTGGAATGCTGTGGGAGAGCTCTGGGACATCTGACCAGGCTTCTCCCACCAAAACCCCATTAACTGGGGCTGCCCAAATGTGAAATGTTGGCAATTCTCTTGGTTTCCAAACCAGAGGAGGGCTCCTCAATGTGGTCCTGCTAAATCTTTTTAAAACCCCTCCTCTGCCTCTTTCAGTGGTTCAGATGCTCTCTCTAATTAAATTCCTGCTAATAATGGGGAATGTTCCTGGCTGTTGAGTGGCTGCAGCAGGGTAAATCAGTCCCTGGCCCTCTTGCTTTAATTGGCTTTGATAATAGGGCTGCAGTAGCTGAGATATGGTCAGGACGTGTCTGGCAGAGCTGGTTTACACAGCTGGTCTAACTGAGCCTGGCTCTAACCAAGCCAGCCCATCTCCTGCCTGGGCTCTGCTTTCCCTCCAGGGCTCAGCATTCCAGCATTCCAGTTTCCCCAGCCCTGATAAAATGTGTGGATTTATTGTCAGTTCCCAGCCAGGCTGAGCTGCAGACAGGACATGGGGTTGGGTTTGAAATGCCACAGGGCTCGGCCAACACAAACTGAGCCCAGCCTGGCCCAGGCTGCTCCTGAGCCCCACCAGGGCTGGGTTGGAGACTCAGAAAAGACCCTTTAAAATGCCCTTGTTATTTTGGTTTGGCTTCTCCAAACTGATTTATGGATGTGTACCCAGCCCAGGCCCAGCTCACACAAAGATCTCAGTGCTGCTCCAAGCTGGTTTTTGGTCAGGATAGAGGAGAAATGAGCAGCAGTTCTCTGGTGGAGGGGAAGATTGAGCTGATGATTGAGCAGAGGGTCTCAGTACAGATAAACATGAGGGTCTTGACTGAACCAACAATATCATCTGGAGCTTGAGATGTTCCTGGACTCCAGGGATGACCATTAAATTCCCTGTGGCTTTTCCACCCAGCAAAAGCTCCAGTGGAAAAGGGGATTGTGTGGAACATTCCTGACAATGGAAGTATTTTACAGTGATTTTGGATGGGCTTGGAGCAACCTGGGAGAGTGGAAGGTGACCCTACCCGTGGCAGGAGGTGGCTTTAAGATCTCTTCCAGCACAAACTACCCCAGAATTCTGGGATCCTCTGATTCCTGGGGCTTTTGTGTGCCTTGCCTTGATCAATCAGGTGTTTGGGATCATTCGCCTTGGAGAAAAGGAGCTGCCCACACAGTGACCACATTTGCAACTGGTGAATCTTATCCTGCTGCTCTTTCATAGGATCATGAAATTCTGGAATAACCTAAATGGGGTGGGAACCACAGGAT